GGCGACGAATCACACGATGAATATGTGAGTGTGTGTGTGTGTGTGTGTGTTGATCTACAAGGACGTTAGCATGTTCTTTTTTTATAGCTACACAAAGAGTATTAAGTATATGCATGCAATTGAAAGTTTAAACACATATTTCATTTTTTTTTTTAATAAAAAAGTAAGTAGATATTAAGTGGGTAATCGAACAGAAGTGCAACATTCGTCGGAGAACATAGAAGACAAAAAAGGTCCGTCCTAAAAAAAACTAAAGAACCCCACCCTAATATTTGTCACAGAATAAGTAAAAGATATGTCAGTCGACCTCAGCATTTAACTTTATTCAAAAGTGCAAAATATTAACAGGTGTCTTCTATTCCGTCCGCAATATTTTGGAAAGTAAAATCTAAATTTAGAATCATTAATTATTATGTTGATGAAACTGAAACTACACTGTAACACCTGTATGATAAAAATAGAACATGACATTTTTTCATTGTCATTATCTTCAAATTCCAATTCCAAAGGGTAGCGAAAATTGTTTTCTTTTATTGTTCTTTTGTGTATCATTCAGAAGTAGTGAATGAGTGAAAGTTTGAAGTCGATCTTTTTTTTTCTTTTTTTTAAGGTTATGAGTTTCAAGGAAAAAAAATCTGACACTTGTTAACTGCAATCTTAACCCATACATTCTATGTGGAGTAGTTCATTTGATATTTGGTGGAATAAGAGGTGAAATGAATTAAGACTCTTACATTCTTTAAGATTTTAAAGACTTATTTTTTCTTCCCAATATTAAAACCAATTTCATTTAATTTTCATAAACTCTGCTAAATTCAACATACTCTTTGCTATCGTCTATGTCAAATTACAACAAACATTATAGTAAAGCATTTTATATTCATTATAGTACAACCATAGTTCTATAAACCCTGGTATAATTTAGTCATGGTTTTTTTCTAACAATAGAAATTAGCAGGGAGCTTCTGGTGAGCGTCATCTATGGGTTTATGCATCTATGACACAACTAGGGTGTGTTTAATAACCTTGACTACCTATGAGGGTCGTGCACGGTCGGTCAAATTCATCATAGGGACAATTAATATAGCACTACACTAGGTAAACTCATATAGCATTGCACTTATTAGAAACAGTCTCCTTGCATTTAAGCTGAGCTAGTCGATCTTAAAGTATTCCATAAGGTCTATGTTTCCCTCGTGAATATGCATAACATATGTGGCACGGGAAGTTTAACTATGAAAGTCCGATCTGTTCTATTTTGTTAAAGTTTTTTATGCGGGTTATGCATTTGACCTTATTACAGCTATAAACAAATTCAAAAGAATATGCAGTTTTTCAGCCATGCATGTGCAGCAAATAATGGTTGAATAAAAATTTTCGTTTGTTACTGCAACTCCGTTCATCCAGCAAATATTATATCGTGCTTAGAAATGTAGCTAAAGAAAAGATGAAATTTGAAGAAATAAATTTGCTGAGTTGTGTCCCGTGTATGTGTGTATGTTTTGTTCATTTAAGTATGAACTGCTTGACGAATCGATACTATTTTCAGCATCAATAATTATCTGATTTTATTATTAAATTATCAACCCCAAGATTAAAAAAAAGAAATCCTTTGTAAGTACTTTAATTACAGGTTTAACGATCGTGAAATATGTCACAATGTTGTTTTTGTTTAAACAGGTGCATCTGATGCTAGTTTAGCAGTTGAATGTCCTAACGATATTTCAAGAAACTTTGAAAATGTGAAGTTAAGTTCGTCTGATGGAAAGTATAGCTGCTCTGGAAAATTAGAAATATTACCCGACAAACTGAAAATGAATTATACATATAATTCATGTGGTAAAATGCTAATATTTTCAGGTGCGTCAATTTCTAATGCCTAAACATTTAACAGTTTACCAAGACAATGTGTAAGAACATTATCAAATAAGGGCTTTCAATTAGAATCTTAAGTTTGGTAGATAACAGACTTATGTTATTTTTTTAGAAAACTTTAAAAATCGTTAAACCACTATATTAGTTCATGATGTTGAGAATGCATATTTATAAAACTAGAACAATGTCAAAGATTATGTTTTAAGATTAACATCTTAACAACATGTAGTTGCCATAAATCAATTGAAAATGTGGAATTTAATCCAAAATACCGATTTTCATTTTGCGAATTGATCATGTTTGCTATCACAAATTAAATACTTGCATTTAGTAAACCTTTTTATATATAACTTAACGACCATATTTTGTATTTTATCTTAGCCGATGGACTCTGGCGTTGTTTATACAACACAAATTCTGACAGCACGACATACCTTGCCGTACTGAATATGGATGAATCCCTTGTTATTGGTCAAACATATAGAATTGTTTGCTATGTAAGTTGATTTGTTATGACAAATGATGTAAGGAAACATTGACAACCTGTGCCCAACGTCGTCACTTTTAATTTGTATGTATTTGCTCTCCATTGAAAATCAAAAAAAACATGGTGACCCGAGCCTTGCAGTCATACACATTTCAAGAACGATTACTGTAAATTCAGAAATTATTGCGATGTTTTTATTATTGCGAAAAATGCGACAGGGTTATAATCGCAATAATTTAAACTCGCATTTTGAAATTTTTTATATGAATTAAACAGGATTTTTCTCAATATCGCAAAAATTTAAATCGCATTTAAGTGTAAAATGACAAAATCGCAATAATAAATGCACGCAATAATTTCTGAATTTACAGTATTGTACTCAACCTCAGGCTAAGATATTAACCAATCAAAATACTTGGCCTTAATTTTTTTTCCTAATCAACCAAGAACCTTTTATTCATAAACGCCTATGCACCAAGTCAGAAAAGGTGTTTAGAAATCTTTCGCTTTGTTCATAATACTGCATATTATTGTTGCATTTTCTGACTTTTGAAGTCTCTTCATGTTATTTCATTGATCGATTTGAGACAATTTGGAATGACGATATGTTGGATGAGAACATACATTTTGCCCTCAAACATCCTACCTTTAGACCCCTCGAGAGTTTTTGCAATGGTTTTGAAACTGCAGATCTAGAGATCGTGGCACTATTTCTACACGAGGCATCGGAGTTTACAACTGGATGTGCCTGCGTAGATATATATCCCACACAGTCAAACGAATACCACACTTTAGCAAGTGATTTTCTGACAGAACGGTAGAAGTCCAAGGGACGACCATATTTGCCATGTTTTTATACCTTAGTCAACCCTTAGGGTAAGGGCCTGTTCAGAGCTGAATTCATGTGGTGAATTTTAAATGTCTGTATTGCATCAATGTGCATGTTGGATTGGGCGACTTTGCACTGTCTTAGCTTTGTCTCACCCATATATTTTTGTAAAATGACGAGACGTATTGGCATCAAAACCAGTTCAGCCACAATCACCTCGACTACATCATATAATAATTCAACAATACCTTCTTTTAAATTTTCATTGATTGTCAAGTCTCCTTAAATTATTATATTGTTTAACCAAATTATATATTAAGTAATGACAATATGTTTTGTCAATAGTTTTTTCTCATGTGTTATGAGCTGAACATTGCTGTCAAGGTTGATTCATATTGAACCAGTACAATACCTGAGGAGATAATGTGTAAATAAAAAATACAGACGACGGACACCAAAAAGTGGCAATAGCTCACATAACCCTTTGTTTAACAAACACTATTTACTTGCTTCCAAATCAATCATGCCGAACGCTTGTGTTGTGAAAACACTGGTATCCTTAATCACAGTGTAACATGTTTAATATTGAGTGGGGGAAAAGGACACTTTTGATTCAAGTTGAAGAGTTATTTTTCAATATGCTCTCTGACATGTCTACCATCCTGTTCTCCTTTAAAAGGTGGAACATTCAAAGGCTATGTTAGAGCTACCTGTATGTTATATAACACAACAAGAACCAAAAACTCGTCAGACTTTCTCTTGTTTTATTCTGACTAGAAATTAAAAAAATACCGTGTTTATGGTCATGTAAAGAGTGCACTACTTAAGTTTGATATCTGTTTTAAATATATCACTATCGGAAATATAGTATCTACTGCAGTTGTCTCTTGGGAATGTATTCACTGCAAATTTCAGCCTTACAAAATTGTACCATGTTATTGACTCGTTCTTGCAAAATGCTCCCTAAATAATCATAGAAAGCTGTTTACCGGTTAATGAGTTCACCCCTCGACATTCTTCAGTACCAACGAACTGTTCACCTTTTCGGAACAGATAAGTTCATCCCATGTTACTTCAATAATACCAAATTAAATAAGTACCTTGACAATCACTCACAGCCTGTAACTTTATCCTGTGGTGCCATATCCAGGTGACGAAAGCAGCCTTGCATTTTAATGGCCCCTGTTTTCACATATGCGTATAATCGATGCACCCCAGCATATTGGAAAATGAACATGATGGAAATCACATAACATTTTTTAACTGTTGCCTTAGGGTACCAATCGTATCTCCAATAACTTGAAGGAATGACCCAAAGGCATAAAACCTCAATGGATGGCAAACGTGTTGCTCTCATTGTTAGGCTTTTGCCCTTGGCGTCGATCTCTCTAGCTTTCCGTGCAGAAGATTGCATATTTAGGCAATTGACTCACTTTCAAAACCTGTATCTAGTCCTCATTCGAATATCAGTCAAATGTGTCTGATGAGAGACATATCATTTGAAGATTTTCCCCTTTTACACGATACAATTCATATATGGACAAGTGTCTCGTCAACATCTGCTCCATATTTGAGAAAAAAATCGACCCAAAATTCATATGAATATGCTGTAAACAAAGCTGCTATCATGGATAGGATATGGATAATATAAACGAACAAAAAACCGATTTCATCCTCGCTTGTGGTCGTCATAGGGTGATTTCAATTGCATTTTACAAGCGTACTAATTTTCACTCAAAACAAGCACTTTAAAACTTCTCTTTTACACAAGTACCTGTATAGTTTTTTTTAAAATAATTTCAGACTTTGAAGTGGCAAGGCAAAACCTTAAAAGCGACAACATATCCTGGATCATGTCGACTCAATCAAACTGCTTCATATGTTGTTAAACCGGGTGTATTTGTGGAAATGTCAGAGATTTCAGGTTGGTAAAGGACATGTCGATAGAAAATTAAATTATACTCATAGTCTTGATTCTGTATATAGGTCAATGTATATTTCAACTTGACTTATTGAATTATCAATTGCAAAAACTCTATGAGAGGTCTTTAGGTTGACTGTTGCATGGACCAATTTCTGCTTTTTATCTTTCCAACAATAACATTATTGTCAAGTGGCATACAAAATTTCACGCCCTTCACCCTGGTTGGCCTACCTTTCAGAACAGCCTTTTGTTTCCATTGTTAAGGAGTTTTTGTCCTGATTATGCAAGATGTGTTTTCCACTGGACGTTAATCAAGCTACAATCAATCATCAAATTAAATCCGGTATGATAAACAAAACGACATTTATTTTTCATAAAATGAACGTAAACCACGCATTTCAGAATTTTGGTCGGCTTATTACTGATTTTTATAGTTTGTTTATATATTGTGCTGTTACACCACTGTCCCAGGTAAGGGGGAGGGTTTGACACCCGCAAACATATTCAACCCCGCCACATTCTGGATGTGCCTGTCTCAAGTCAGGAGCCTGTAATTCAGTGGTTGTCGTTTATTGCTGTGTGTCATATTTGTTTTTCGTTCATTGTTTTGTACATACAATAGGACGTTAGTTTTCTCGTTTGAATTGTTTTGCATTTGTCATTTCGGACCTTTTATAGCTGACTATGCGTTATGGGTTTTGTAATTTTTAAAAGTTAACTGTGTAGTGACATGTACAGTATTAAGAGTTTTAGGTTTTTTATATAGAAACCATATAGGTTTTAAAATCTTCCAGTTTTTGGATAGGTACCAGTATTTAGTGTTTGTACGATGGCATATACTAAGTTTTCAGTAATGCAGGTGAACTAGTTTCAAGTGTTAAACATTTCACAGAAGTAATTTCCGTTAGATGCTTTACGTGTTGAATCAAGACCTAGTGCTCACCTAATTCCTTCACAGTCAGCTTTAACTCTGATTTTCGCCTTAAGGGTAATGCTGACTAATTGTTACAAACAACTGGCATCATACGAAGTGCATGTATGAGGGTTAATGTCTTCATGTCATGCATATATAAATGCTGCTTAGAATCTACTCCGAAATACAACCGCCAAGAGTGTGGGGTGTCATCATGGATATCATCAAGTTAACTATTGTTTGTGTGTATTGTTTATCAATATCGGTTAACCTTAAAATAATACCACTTTGTGTCATTTATTTCTTCAGATCATGAACTTGGATATCTTACTAATGAAGGTAAGTTACCAGCGATTCTTATTCAATACTTGAGAACATTGATAATATGATTCACTGAATGTCTGTAAGTCAATATGTCCTCTTTAAAGCTGAATATTAGAGCTCAGACCGACTACATACGTTGCGAGGTATTATCAAAACTGACGAGCTGAATGTGCACCATCTGAAAATAAAAGTTATAATTCTGCTAATAAAAATGCTATGTCATTTTTGCAATACTTTTTAATTTATATAATAGTAATGGTAATCGAATGTTAATGTTTGGTTCTTCAGATTAAAAAAAAAAGGAAAAATAGATAAAACGAGAAGTATGTACGATATTGTGTGATCTATAACAAAAATATTTCTTTGTCGTCTAAATAAAAGAAAACGTCTCCATTGTGCATAATTATTTTTTTTAATGCGTGTATGGATTAGATTCTTTGTCAAAATGTGATGACACCACCGTTTTAAGATATTTGCTCGAATAAAGCGGGCGAAATATTTACACCACCGGTGTCATCAGGTTAATGATATAGCTAACTCAGTGCAACGAAAACCAAACACCAGTGGAAAATGCAATACAAGGTAAATATTGAGCAACTGAAAAGGAGTACCTATAAACAAGACAAGTTGTAAACAGAACGCACGAAACCTTAACTATAGACTTAACCGAATTCCTACGATAAAGTTTCAATTAAGGTTTAACAAAATCGTGAATAATATTTCAAGCGACGGACAAAGTAAAGTATGTACTGTTGAAATATTCATTTTTTTTAATTTTTCATTTCTTTTTATATAAGCATTGTACTATTAGAATATAATTTAAAACCATATCGGTTGACACAATATATTCACAGGAGTTGCTGTAGGAATATCTGTAGCTGTTATTGTAGTAGTCTGCATCATCGTAGTTACTGTGTTATTCTGGCGAAGGTATGTATCAAACATGTCATAATTTTAGAGGAAGATTTTTTTTTTAATTATTCCTTATAACAGGAATGATTTCAATCGCAGTATTTATGAATCAGTATACCATTTGGGAATATAATACTAATTGTGTATGATCTGAAAACACCCAATAAAGGTTCGAGTTCAAATTACCTTTTTATGAGGTTCTTTAATAACCTGGCATTTCGGGTCTCACTCTTTGACTTCGATTACATTTTTTCAGCAAACATACATTGAGTCGCTTGGATACAAAATTCGGCATTATGATGATTAAATGAATATCAACTTAAACTTTCTAATCTAAACCATGAATAAAACATTGAGCCATAACGTTTTGCTAATGGAATAAAAGATAACATTCAATCTCGATCTCCCTCATTTATCCGACTATATGTATTATGTGATGTATATAGAGGTCAAAATAACACCAATATATAATCATCAAAGAATAAGATAATACCGTTTAAGCATTCAAAAATCGTACGGACCCATGAAGACAGACGCAAATATAAACATCCATTTGCATGAATTGTGCAGTGTGGAATGTATTTCATCTTTCTATGATTGTTCTTACATGAGCTATAGTTATTGACGATTAGAATGTTTTAATATATGTGTTTCGTTTACAACTTTGTGCACCATCTGAAAATGAATGGGGGAGGGGGGGTCCTTGTTTGATATGATGTGGTACCAATAATTTTTGCGATTCATGTTATTATTTTAGTGTATTTTAATTATTCACTAAACAGTACATGTACAAAAATTTAGCAATGCAAGGCTTACCAGAACCAAAATGGGTATCGTTGTTCCTGGAAACAGTTTCTGGCAATTCTGGAATAAATAACACACTTTTTAAATGTTCCACTCACAAAAAGAACGTCATCATGTTCTTATCTAAATGATGAATCCAACAATTTCAGTGCCGTAAAATTTTAACCAAAAAATCTAATTTTTACACGATTTACAATTATGCAGAAGGCCGGCATTTTTATTTAGATGTCAAAGTAATATTCTTGTTATAGATCGCACATGGAAGTTTTGACGTCCTTCTTGTTTCTCCGTTATTCCAATTTCATCAAAACAGCAAACCAAACTTTACATTGACGATGCGGATCATAATCAAAACGGAATAATAACAAGAAAAACTTAAATCACAATATTAAGAAAAAATAAGCTATAAATTGTTTTATAACATATTTTATAACATGTATAATAAATCTAGTGATTCTGATAGATGATATGATTTTCTTTTCACATGATTTGACATTTCCTTTAGGAGATATACTTTTAAACTGGTCAATTACACCCGAATTGTACTTGAAGCTTTGGCCCGATATTTTAACTCTTAAAAATGATCAAATAAGCTAAAAACTGAACTTTTTAAAAAGTTTAACTCCGAGGACGGACTGGGATATATTTTCAGTTGTATGGAACACTAAGTGAGTTAATGTATTGCATTCATAAGATTGATTATTCTGATTTTATTGAGAAAATTAATAGTATTACCGTGACTCATTGATCTTGTCTGCTTGTAGCTGACGCAGTAAAAGAAACCCATCTAATAAATTATGCCAAAAAAACAGTTTTACTCCAACATATTTGCGAAACAAAACTGAATTATAAATAATAATACGATTAATCGATCTTAAAAAATATGCTACGTACATTATAAATACGATAACGTTTATAGGTGATATAAATACAAACTGTTGTATTGAAGACATAGATTTTTGGTTCATTTTTAAACTCGCTTGCTCAAACGTGGCACCAGCTGCTTTTGTTATATTACAACGCTTTTCATCCTACCTATAATTCTAATCGAATAAACTTGTTTCGAGTCAATCCTCAATGCACGGAAAAGGGAGTAGTTTGTGTTGCTAAGACTTCTTACCGTTTAGAGGACAATACAAATACCAAATTAAGGAAGCAACTCAGCAGCAAATGTACCTGCAAAATGTGCTCTTTTTACAGAAATATTCGCAAAAAGACTGCTACTAAAGTCTCTGATGTCACGAGTAACAAAACAGTTGATAACTCTCTAGGTCAACAAGATATAGCACCCCCTCAGTATCCAACAGATGACAAGATATTGTATAGCCAAGTTTCGAAAGGCACACAACATTATCAATCTGAAGACACCCAATCGCCGTATTCCCTATCTGTGGAAGGGGTATATGATACGACCAATGAAAGGAGACATGTTATTAACGACACGAACGTTTACAGCCATGCAGTTGATACCGTGTATGATTCTTCCGAACAACACACGAGACAAGAAAGGAAAGAGGAAGTCTATGATCACGTTTTCGGTCAGAAATTGGAAGATTAATACGACCAAACAACACATAAGTGGATTTATTACAGCATCAGGATTGAAAGAATCTTATAAAAGTTTTGTTGAAAAATGTATTCTATAGAAAAAGTCAATCCTGTAAATTGAACTATAATAATGCCCACCCGTCATTTTTTGTAATTCGTTTCGATGGACTTGCTCATATAACATTTATATAAGTGCAGTTTGTTGCCAAAAAAAAATTACTTTTATGTAAGGCGTATGCTAATTGTATTATATTATTTGCTGGTTTATTTGCGGATGTTTGCTAATGAAATTCACAAATCTATTTTATTTTTGTAATTTTTGTTGAAAATAAAATGTATGCAATATATACAAATTTAAAAAAATATGAATATGTATTAAGGCTTGTTTTAAAAGGCTGAAATTGAACAAAAATGTTCTACTTTTTTATAAAGGCCTCTAATAATTACAGACAATGTATTTGATTATTTTCAATAAGAAAAGACACTGGTTCATTGGTACGGCATTGGCCTTTGGTCAAGTAAAATTGTCATCGTCTCAGTCATTATTATCATCATCAATATTGTCATTTTTTTTTCTCAATTTTATTGACATACTTTAACATACTTGATTCAACTTAAATGCAAAATACATGCACATCAGTAATAGTGTCATTACAATCATACAGGAACAAAAAGATAAGAATACTTCAAGGTATCTAATCAAGGCGACATTAGTTTACTGATTTTCAAATATCGTAAATCGATTAAGAAGAGACAAACCAAACCATAACTGAGGGAATCACATGAACTCTAAAAAAGGAGCGAGACCAGGTACGTCAACAGGGTATTTGTCTCCTGCTTTGTATGCATTACCCAACATGGTGTGATTCACGTTATCCTTCCGAAACACTTGGTTGTTTTACAATTAAATGAAACTCAAATTGTTATTCTTACCTATTCACCCATCCAGGGAAAGAACCAATGGAAATCACAGACCCAAATAGATCAATTTGCAAGTCGATAAATGATACAGTCTTTGATTTATAATTCATCAAACAAATATGTTACTTTTATTCACGTAATCACCTATAGCAGAAAGAGAACTACCATTTTCAACGACATACTTTCACTTTGAACATCTAGTTCCATCTAGCGTTATTTCCTCACAGTACTTGTAATCATGAGATTAAGTGAATGTGAAAAGGTTTATATAGGGACAGGTTTTTTTTTAAAGAAATACAGCTTTTGGCTAGAGGGTTAGTACATCAATGTAAAAAAAAGTTACTCGTGAGTGAGATTGATAATGAATCAACGTTGTACATTGAATGATTTATCTACTGGTAAATATATCTGTTACGATTCAAGACAGAGACTCACTGTACCAGATCTTTGTTCAATTTCCACTTTTTCTATATGAACTGCGCTCTGACGTCCTACGGCATAAGAAGATGATAAAAAGGCTGCCATTTTGTGTAAATTCACATAATATCCTGCTATTCCAATCTAAAGAACAATCGAGATATGAAAAAACCTTAATAAACCCATATTGAATAACTAGGTTAAAACTAATAAATTAAAGGATTTATGAAAAAAACTGTATACTATTACAAATGTATCTTGTCTTGTCTTTTAAGTTTAACATTTTTGAATTTCTTTAACTTTTGTGAGTGTACGGTATGCACATGTAAATGAAAGATCATGAAAGTTATTCCAAAACAATGACATGTAATATCGTGAATGGCAATAATTATGATTTATATCTAATAACATATCATAAGTCCGTAATAACATAAAAGAGAGAGAAGATTGCTAGGGGAATTAAAAACCATACATCTAAAAAAAAGACAATAGCATGGACAAAACGTTAAACAACGAAACGGAAAACAAAAATATCAAAACATTACACAGAAAACTAAATAATTAGCAACAAAAACCGTGGATGCCCTGGAAAAGTATGCAACTATAGTTCCTCATATGGCACCCGTCGTGTTTTCCTCAAGCAAGTAATAGTCAGATAATTGGTGGCTTTTGGTAATGTGACAATCGGGAAGATGATGATCCGTAGTCTTATGTGACACAGATATTCCGTAATGGTCAACCAAATCATGATCGGTCCGTAAAAACCAGAACTTTTTAAAAATGGACAAACCCAATAATGATTTAGTTATAACTTAAGGAAACGTTATTAGGTACAAGTACGTCATGTAGTTTTGAATTCATTATCCCTCATTACGAAAGCACAGAAGGATAATTTGAGATTTGAAATTTTGTAAATTCACGTTGAAATGCGAATATGAATTTCTTTAATCTTTGAAATGAAATTGAAAGTTGAATTCGTGAAAATAAAATCATCTACTTTGTCGTAAAGTTTAGTTATCCATCGACCAACAGTGTATGTTTCAAGACAAAATCAAAACACTCTTGGAGGGTTGGGGGGTTGTAATGATCGATATAAAGATTTGAATTCAATCGTTATTCCAGCCCTAATTTCTTGTTTTTTTTTATTTTACAGTTGAGGCAGACCAAGAATAACATAAGCTAAACGCAGAAAACGCTGGTTGCAAATACGTCGTTTGCAAACTCCACGTTTTCCCTTTTTCTAGAAAACGCGCGTTTGAACTAATATTTAATTCAATTTAATTGAACTAGTATTGCAAATGGATATTTGATCATAAGTTTTTTTTTATTTAAGATAACCATTTAATTTCTTTTTTACCTTTTCAGCAAATAACTAGCAAACATATATCACAACCAGACAATTATAAAGGACACAATTCATTTAACCATGTTCTTCAAAATCATGAAAATATTTGACTAGTATTTGAAAGAGCCTCTTGAAGGAAAATCCTTTTCTTTTCTAAACTTACATTGAGCTAAAAATGGATCGCAACAGGCGAAAGGGATAGTGCTTATTTGTAAACATCTTCATTCAGGACTAAAAGAGCCTTTAGTTACAGAGAGTATACCAGTAAACACAACACAAGGTTAATAGTTTGTAGGATATTTTTTTTGTGTTTAAATCAGAATAATTAAACTAAATTTGTCACACGTACACGTGTACGTGTACGGAATGACCCTATATCTAATTTGAAAATAAGGAGAATACGATTAAATTTAAACGGTTCGGCAAAATGATTGTTTCAACCATAAAGCTCTTTAACGGTCAGTTGATAGATTTTGGTGGTTATATAAGGTGATTTTGTGGATCAACCAAATGAAGTAGTGTCAAATCCGTAACAGTGTGGACGACACCAATACTTATGTTATTAATAATAGCGAATCATTTACTTTTTTAAAACATGTTTGTCATCGGCTATCGATAACAATGATTTTACGTTCACACAGTCTGTCAGAGGCCCTCCAGTTGGGATGTCTACAATCATTTGTTTCACATTTCGCTACATAAGATTAATCTTCCTTTCAACAAAATTTAAAAGAAATTTGTTTTGAACATTATTGTTATCATCACAACCAACAGTTTCATTTGAAATAATAATAAATAAACAGAGCTAATATCATTTAAAAATAGAACTAGAGGCTCTTAAGAGCCTGTGTCGCTCACCTTGGTCTATGTGCATATTAAACAAAGGACACAGATGGATTCATGACAAAATTGTGTTTTGGTGTTGGTGATGTGTTTGTAGATCTTACTTTACTGGACATTCTTGCACCTTACTATTATCTCTATCTATAATGAACTTAGCCCAGTAGTTACAGTGGAAAATATTTTGTAAAGATTTACAAAAATTTACAAAATTTATGTAAAAAATTGACTATAAAGGGCAATAACACCTTAAGGAGTCAATTGACAATTTTGGTCATGTTGACTTATTTTTAGATCTTACTTTGCTGTACATCATTGCTGTTTACTGTTTATCTCTATCTATAATAATATTCAAGATAATAACCAAAAGCTGCAAAATTTTCTTAAAATTACCAATTCAGGGGCAGCAACCCAACAACGTGTTGCCTGATTAGTCTGAAAATTTCAGGGCAGATAGATCTTGACCTAATGAACAATTTTATCCTCGTCAGATTTGCTCTTAATGCTTTGGTTTCAGAGATATGAGCCAAAAACTGCATTTTACCCTATGTACTATTTTTTAGCCATGTCGGCCATCTTGGTTCGCGGGCGGGGGTCATCGGACACATTTTTTAAACTAGATACCCTAATGATGATTGTGGACAAGTTTGGTTAAATTTGTCTTAGTAGTTTCAGAGGAGAAGATTTTTGTAAACGATTACAAAAATTTACGAAAAATGGTTAAAAATTGACTATAAAGGCCAATTACTCCTTAAGGGGTCAACTGACCATTTTGGTCAAGTTGACTTATTTGTAGATCTTACTTTGCTGAACATTATTGCTGTTTACAGTTTATCCCTATCTATAATAATATTCAAGATAATAACCAAAAACGGCAAAATTTCCTTAAAATTACCAATTCAGGGACAGCAACCAAACAACGGGTTGTCCGATTCATCTGAAAATTTCAGGGCAGATAGATCTTGACCTGATAAACTTTTTTTGCTCTAAATTCTTTGGTTTCAGAGATATAAGCCAAAATCTACATTTTACTCCTATGTTCTACTTTTAGCCATGTCGGCCATCTTGGTTAGTTGGCCGGGTCACCGGACACATTTTTTAAACTAGATACCCCAATGATGATTGTGGCCAAGTTTAGTTAAATTTGGTCAAGTAGTTTCAGAGGAGAAGATTTTTGTAAAAGTTAACTGACGATGGACGACGGACGACGACGGACGACGGACGCCAAGTGATGAGAAAAGCTCTCTTGGCCCTTTGGGCCAGGTGAGCTTCAAATATATTACATGTAAAACATCTCGATTTTTGTTATCATGATTATACAAAAACTTCAAGTTTATGGTTTTTTTCACAAAAAACATATCTTCTAAAAGAATAAATACTCCAACGTTGGGAACATTTAAGTATAACCTACTGTTTATTCAATGGAAAAGATTTATGTGTGAAAAGTGCTCAGGATAATGAAAAAAAAAAATGTCTTCCTATTTTTTGCATGGCACATCATTTGAATCATTCAGTCGTTTAGAAAACTCGTACGGGCAGTTTGCTTTGGATACTCAAGTATATTAGACTACTCAATTGCCTCTATTTAAGTATATTTCTAAAGGTATATCTGAATACCAAAAAGACTTTTCTAAGTGTATAATGTTTTATGTAAAGGGAAAACGGTACTGTTTATTAGCAGCAACAACAGAAATAGGAAGTGAATGAATAAATTAAAAAATCAAAAGAAGTAACAAATTAACAAAAAAAAACTATTATTTTTTAATTTTTTGTCCATTTTACAGAAATTTGACAATCGCTTTCCCAATTTTACTGGATTACTGAAAAG